ATATATAATGCATTCTTCATAGACAGGGAATTTCAAGGCGTTGCTCAAAATCTTACTTAAGTGTCTTTCCCGTGATCGGATGTGACATATTATGGGAGCTTGCTGGTAGAAACACAAATAATGCTAAAGGCGCGAGAGACACTTTTACCTCATATTTCGCCCAGAACCGAACTAGATCACGATGGACAAATTATGAGAGAGAGAGAGAGAGAGAGAGAGAGAGAGAGAGAGAGAGAGAGAGAGAGAGAGAGAGAGAGAGAGAGAGACAGACAGACAGACAGACAGACAGACAGACAGACAGACAGACAGACAGACAGACAGACAGACAGACAGACAGACAGACAGACAGACAGAGAAAGAGAGAGAGAGAGAGGGGGGGGGGGAGTGACATCGCGCGATTCGATAATCGTCATCATCACCATCCTCATCATCATCCTCATTATCATCATTAAGTGCACTGCGTTAAATAACACTGTATTCGTTACCAGTAAAAATGGATATAATGTGGACTTTGTTACGTTTGTCCCAAATGGAAGTTCTAATGTACACTGGTGATATGAGTACATCCAGGGGCGGTTCGTGGGTCTAAAAAGTGGGCGTGCATAATTAGGTTAGAGCAGGTTGAAGATAGTCAAGGACATGTAAATTAGATGTTTTCTTCATATTACCTGTTTTGAAAAAATATATTTGAAGAAGAAGTTTTCCTTTCGTTCTTTTGCAGGAGCAAAAGCGTCCATTATTCTGTTGACGAAGTTGGGCATGCTGTCAATGATGTCCTTTTGGATCGACATAAACGTCAGTGCGATTTCTGGTATTTTGCATACTTCCCTAAATGTTGTCTCGAATTTGTAGTCCTTCAGAGTTGAATAAAGGCCCTGGATTATTATACGACACTGAGCAGATTTACATATTTCATTGCAATGTAATACTTGTAATTCTGTTTGTAATTTGATTTAAGCAAAACTGTAATATTTCTGTAAACGATCCAAGAACTGTTGGAAACGACTTTTGATAATCCTGGAATTTGGAGGAATCGCAGATTGAGAGTGCGTTGATTTTATTTTGCTTCAAGAAACTATCACAATTTGAGTAACTAACATGTGACAGGCCTGCTTTGCAGCACATTCGCAAGCGTTGTACTGTTTGCGTCTCTCGGAAGCGTGTTTCTCTGTTGTGTGTCTTGTTGATGGAACACGCATACTGTTTCTAATTTCATCGACAGGTACTTTAAACATGTCTAGAGCTTGTTAGGCTGCTATGGGCGTTGTACTTCTGTGTTAGAGGATCCCATAAACAGCGTCAACACGTGTGTACACTTTGTTGAAAAAGTGCAAAAAGAAGAGAAAATGTTTCGCTCTTTAATACATTCAGGATACCGTCGTGGGTGGAATTATCGTCCCAGTGCTCAGACTGAATTTCTTCAAGACAGAGCTGGGTCTCTCCTTTCCAAATGAAGACTGCGCTAATTAGTCGAGACTGTAAATTCCACCTTGTTTCAGATGGTCATGGAATATTCTGGTGACAAACGTAGATGCCTTTTGTAGAGTGGGCAAAACATGTCGAAGAGTCTGCATAGCGTTAGCGAAAAATACCTCTGTTCCCCGACAAATCACCCTTTTCATGACCGCGAAGGGCGAGTTCGTGAGTTTCACAGAACAAAATACACTAGATAACCTTATACGGGGTGCCAACTATGGCTGGATCGGGCCAATCGCCCGACTCGATCGCCTGAAACTGAAAACAAACACGTTTGTTTTTGAGTCGATCGAGTCGGGCGATCCGTAGTGGGCACCCCGTATTACACAATACGTGCCTGTTCTTTCTCATCAGTTCGTTTTAGTGAGACGTTGCAATGTGATGATCTACGACCAGCTGCTATGTCTACTTCTCCGAAAGTATGATACTTAACGGCCTTTTTTACGAGCGCTTTTGATGACTTTTGACATTAAAACGTTGTTTCATATGGACAAGATCAGTAAAACCTGTCTTAGACTTCTTGGGGTCCTCAGTTCCAAAAAGCAGACAGGAGAAACAGTAGGCCTAATCTAGGTCTACAATGAGTATAATTTGATAACGCTGACTGTAAGCCACTCCACTTTTTATTCATTGCTTTATTTTGATATTTTTGGGTTTGTGAGGACTTAATTCATTCACTCTCTTCTTGTTACTTTGTTTGGTGAACTGAATTTATTTGCAATCAACTTCATTCATCATGCATTGGAATACACACTCGAGTAATAAAACTTTCACCACTGCACCATTCCACTTTAAAAACAATGACCTAATTAAGCCATGTTGACCTCGCTCAAGTTCAGGGTTACAGAGGTGGGGCTAGATAAAAGGTAAGAGAATGGACCAATCGCACATCGCTGGGAGCACTCCGGTGGATTGCTCCAAAGCTATCATAATACGGGCATTGAATTGTGTAGGCTATCGTGAGCTGGTCTGAGAAGGCGTTATTTTTAGACTGCCTCTATGGGCTTTGTTCGGCTGGTGCACATTGAGATTGTGCCGCCTTATTAATATTTATGAACTAAGAAACTGGGTCAAAACGTCATCGTTGTTAGGGTCGTCCCATAGAGCATTTTCTGAGATAGATTACACCACTGAACATACTATTTTTTACTTGGGTGAAGCACAAGAGCTTGATATGGTATAGCAGGTGTTGTAGAGCTGTTGTAGATGTTGTAATGAACGAATATGTTCTGGCGAGGAACTTGTACGGAAAACTGATTGGATGGTCAATGGTAAAGGTTCTTTTG